ATACCAAACCGGGGATCATGTTCTCAAATTCTGTTTGTCTGGCGGCCCTAGATGCGCGGCGCAGGGAAGAGGCACGTCAGGAGAAGGGGGCGGGAGGACATTGAGGGGTATGGGGTCAAGAGACCAGGGGGGAACATGTCGCCAATAATGTTCGATTTTTGTTGTGATGTGTCTGTTTTTGTGGTTCTTTTCTTTCTATTCGTCCCGATTTTTCTAAACACTGTGTGCTCGTGGCTATTTCTGTGCCCTTGGCACACTCGCAGCGTGTGTATCTCTCTTGGTCTCAGCGGCCGAGCCAGGGAGTTTATCACGCGCTCTGTTTGCTCGGGGCTTGGACCACCACCACCGCCGCCGGGGCCGCGCCGGGCGGGTCCACCAACGGCGCTATCATCGCTGAGTACACATACACGGACAAAGAGGCGCAACCCAACATGTATTGGGCAATCTGGCATCAAATCGATCGGATTATGAGCCGCGCGGGGGTCACTGCACCCGCGGGGCGTGTGTGGGGCGTGGCTCGGCTGAAGTGCCAGTGCCGCATACTTACTCGGGTAGTAGCTCTCGAGGTCGCTGACGCCGGCCGTCTTGGGGTCCACCACCCTGTCGTACTTGGTGAGGACGCCGTAGAGCACGATGAGGGCGAGCTGGGCGGCCAGTAGGCCGCCGGCCGTCCCCCCGCATCGGCGAATCATCTGCAGGCAAGGGTCGCCGTCAATGCTCGCGGACCCGCGTCCTGACCCACAGCCAGTGAGGCGTCACGGCGCCAACCCCCACCTCTGCTTTTTACGACGGGCACTTGTCCGGGGCGGCGGCGGCTGCTGCGGGGCGCGGGGCGCGGCGGGGCCGCGGCGCTGGAGGACCTACTCTGCGCTTCTGCTTGACGTTGATGGAGGCCGCGGCCGAGCAGACCATCCCCCGCCGGTCAGACCTGCTCCCCGCGCGACCTTGTGCACCAGTGCGCGTCTTGGTGGTGGTCGTCCCCCGGTGGTGCCCGGCTGTTGCCCTGGTGGCCTGCTCGCCGACTGGAGGGCTAAGCGGCTGGGCTAGGCCGGGCCGCGCCGCTGGGCCGGGTCCCTCCGCCGCGCGTCCCTCCCCGCCGCTCACTCGGTTTGATGTGTCGCCCTTCCCCTCCCCTTCCCCTCCCCCCTCTGCCGCACTCGCGTGATGTCAATCCTCCCATTGCGGTCGCGGCGTGTGGTGGTGGTGGTGGTGGTGCGGCGGACAAACCTTTTGCCGCGGCTTGTCGTCCTGCCCTAGTGTAGGGCGTATCTACACGCGCGCGCGCGCACACACACACACGCACAGCATGCGAAGTAGGGGCCTGGGCAGGCTGTGCCGCAGTGTGATGTACTGTCATCTCGACAATGGTCCTGATTGAATATTCTGACAAACCCATCCACGGCGCGCGCGCGCGCGTACACGCACGCACACACACGCACGCACACACACGCACGCACGCACACGCACGCACACACACGCACGCACACACACGCACGCACACACACGCACACACACTGCATACAGCGCCCTGCGCTCCACCTCCGAATTCGGCCATATATTTACAAAATTGATTCACACAGGGGAAAAAAAACAACGTGTGTTCGTTGTTTGTATTTTTGGTTGCTCATTTTTTGTGATCTTTACACGTAAATAGTGGGAGAAATCTTCAAAAGTGAAAATTTCATTGCCATTTAACAAAAATCACGTGTTTGTTACAGCTAGCCTGTTCCTGGTTTGTGTGCTTCCAACATCTCTGTGTTTGTTTGGATGTCACCTCCCTTCCTTGTGATGTAGTGGTCGAGGTGTCCATGTCCGCTATCATCTGGTGAGGGGGGTTCTCTCAGTCTCAGTCAGTGATGGGTCTGCAGCGTGGCGTGGCTGGCGGAGGGAGAGGGGCGGGGGCGTCCCACCGGCTGCGCCCCCCAACCCCGTCCAGTGCCACGCCGCCGCGTCCCGACTCGCGCCTGAATAAAACAGACAGTACAGTGACCGCTTTCAAGGAGAATGCATGAGGGGGCTGGGGGGCCGGGCCGTGTGTGACGGCCAGGGCCGGGCCGGGCCCCGTCACTCTGCGAGGTGTAGGGCCCGGCAGGAAGCGCTGAGTAAACGACCAACGGGCCCCACCGCCCTGGAAAATGACTGGTGGGCGCTCGGGTGGACGTCATAGCTCTGGCCCGAAGGGATGCTGCCGGCCCGGGCCCGCGAGCTCCGTCACCTTGGCCTAGCCTAGCGCTCTACCGGCAATTTCTTTTGGCGGTGTTTGAAAACAATTAATGGCCCGAGCTTTGTGCGAAAGCCTCACGGAATGTCAACCACGGGATGTGAATGGCGTGGAGTTGGTGGCCGCTGGTGGTGTTGCTGGTCTGGAGTGGTTCTCAGAGGCGACGGCAAAACCGCCGGCGGTCCAGTCCGACGCGGCACCGTGACGTCCGGGGAGTCTCTCTCTCTGCGGAGATAGGGAGGTGATAGATCATCTCTCTGGCGAGGACGTCCGCTGTCCCGTCCGCCTCGTGTTGTCGTCGCATTAACATCGTGTCTTTTGCGACGCCTCATGCCTTATTTAGCTTCGGGCAGGAAGAAAACAAGCGGAGCCTTCTCAAAACTTCAGCCGGCGCGGCGCGCCCTGGCGGAAAGTAAACTTGTAATGACCTTGCTGAGGGTACGTACTCGCTTTGGTCCAATTTTCCGGTGAAAAAAAAGTGAAAGGTAATCGGAACAGAAATATGTTGTTCGTGGCACTTAATTTGAAATAAATATCACTCGAAATGCTTTTCAAAAATGTGCAAGTAGTACAAGTTCTGTGTCATTTGTCCGACCTGTTTTAGTCTGACCTCGACCTCGGTAAAATTACGGTTCTCAAAGAATAGTGAAAGTTTGACGTTGACGATGCATGTTCGAATACTGTGAGCTTCTTCGTTTTTCTGTACTCTAGGAAGGCCAGTGGCTCGAATCTCCGTCATGGTAAAATTTTTCTCTCGCCACAAAATTTCGAGTGGACTTCAAACCCGTCATTTTCTAGGCCTCGCTCGTGGGGTTCGTACAGCGTTGTGGTTTCCCCCCTGGGTCGCATTGGCCCGAGAGGTGACGAGACTCGGCTCTGGAACCGGGGTTCGACTCTCAGCTAAGCGGGCCGTGGAAGTTCCTTCCCACCAACACAAGCGGATTTTAGTGGTTAGCTTATATTCCTGGCACCTTTGCTGTGGTGGTGGGTGCGCTTACAAGACCTATTAACCTGTACGATAATGGTGCTCCGTGACCTGTGGTAGGTCAGTGCAGTTAACCAACGTACGTATTCTTAGTACGCGCCAGGAGTATGTTCGGACCACTGTAGTCGAAGCGTCTGTTACCGCGTTCACCGAAGTCACCAACGACTGCAGTGTGAGGGGCGTGCTGTGTAGAACTGTGTAGCTACGAACAGGGACGTTTGCGTGCGCGGGCTTGGGGCGGGCGCCTACGAGTATCGAGGTAGGCAACCTGCACGCTGTGAAGTTTATTTGCGGACTACCTCACAGGCTGAACTCTCATGCTGGCCGCAGCAGTTCCAAGAAAGGGAGGATAAAGCCACCCAACATCTCCTTACTCGTAGAGAGTTTTTGTAGAAAAGCTGGAGTCGGCAGGCACAGGTACCGACTGCCCCACGTTCCCTTCGGGCGAACGTTCGCGCGTTCATGGCACGTTCGTTTTCTTGGTTCCCGAGAAGGCCCCTAGTGGGTTAGACGGGTTTTGCCTGCTTTTCCTAGAATTTGATAATTAACTCAACAGGACTGTCTGGGCTATCAACCCCCAACCGCCCTTCCGCCATCCACACTGTTCAGAGGTCCAAAGCGTGTCAGCTTGGTCAGGGGTCTCAAACTCGCGGCTCGTGAGCCAAGCGCGGCTCGCCTAGCTCGGTAGCAGCGCGCGGCTCGCCGAGAGCCGCGCTCGGGTTGCTCGAAGCTGAGCTGGACCCAGCCGCCGTCTTCTGTCGCTGGACACACGCCGCTCGCTCGCTGCCCCAGTGTGTGTGTCTGTCTTTGTCTCACTCATTGAGGCGCCATTGGGAGTGACAAAGACAGACAAACTGGCCGGCGACCGAGTGCCAAGCAAAGCTTGCCGGCGGCGACAGCAGTGCGGCCGGGCACGGGTCAGTCGCTCAGGCACCACTACATCTATCTCTCTCACTATTCTTACCGAAGAGCTTGCAATGCGTGTGACCTATGCAGGCGTGGCTCGGCGGATAGCTCGAGTTTGAGACCTCTGAGCTTGGTTCTCGCAGACTTTTCTTCACTTCAATCTCAACGAGGATTATAACGACTGCTTGTTCATAGCGAACTGGAGCCACCCATTTCTCGGGTGACGCAGTCAGGCCGGGTCCGGCCCATCCCCTGCAGTAACGTACTATAAACATAGACTGTTGTGTGTCTCCTGGTCACCCCTGCCACCTCCTGATAGGCCTTCTCTTCTCAGAGACCGGCCCGTTTGTTTTTCAAAGGGTGACTAGCAGGTTGGGCCGGACGCTTATGAATTGCTTATGCGTGTGGCCGGGCCGCAGACCACCACGGGAGCGTCTCGGGCGGAAGTAGGGCGCTGTTCTCCAGGACCCCCCGCTGCCGGACTGAGGAGCAGGGGCAGTCTGTTGTCTTTGTCGTGAACCATTAAGACAGGAAGAAAGGAAAGGGGTATAATGCAGTGACATCGCTGACCCTTCATGTTAAATATTGACGCCAGGAATGGAAGATGGGCACCTCCTCTCCTACTCTGTGTAGATGACACCATGTAGCCAGCAGGTCTGTCGCAAATCGCAACCGAATTTAGATTTGTCAAATTCCCGTCCCCCTTCCTTTTCTCCGGTATCATTCTCCCCACTCACTTCCCGAATGCCCCAAGGTGCCTGTGGGTAACCCCTCCCTCCCCCCATAACACACCTGTTAAAAAAAATCCTTTCTACAGCTTGCCCTTGCCCCGACCCGTTTTTTGAGACTTTTTGTTGAGGGGTGTAAATAAAATGTTATAATATCAAATGTTATTGCACTCAAAATATTACTTTATTGTAATCAGCTATCAGGTTGTGATAGATCACAATTTTTTTTTCTCATATTGTTTACATGTGACGGAGGTTGCTTGCTAAGCTGTATTTCTTGTTAAAAGTATGCAGGTAACACAAATCCTGTACTTAAGTGTTTCACCAAATGTTAAATTTGAAATTGCTATAGAACACATTTTATCAGGTTGGTTACATCTAATCATACGCACAACTTCACATCATACTCTATAGCATTGGTTTTAATGCGGGTTCATTTATGTACTTTTGGTGTTTTTGGCAGAAATTACCTTGTTTTGTACAATTATAAACAAGCAATAAATTATAACGTCAAAATTCACTAGTTTTGATAAGGTAAGGGAGACCCATAATTTCAATAGTGCTGCAACAATTCATGTATTTTCTCTCAAACACTCAGCTATTAACTGGTACAACAGACACAAACAAACGGCTACGTATCGAAGTGTTTCAAAGAACAGTACATAACAGAACAATGGCCTAAGCATTGTGGCCTGGTAGAACAAAACACATCTGTTAGCCAAATGAAAAGGATCGTAACTATTATGGAACAGACCCCAGTAGCACCGAACGCATAAAACGCACCTAAAATGTTTAACTTTTAAGCAAATTTTAATGCGCGCATATATGCGCCATTATTTGTGATATCTTTTTTTAGGCGCTTACTGAATCAATGCTACTGGAGGATGAAAGAGAACTGCTAAGTAAAACTACTGTTGAATTCTGGTTGACTCAAACATTTCCATTTTAGTTACATGTTTTTTGTATGTAAATGAAACAGGTAATTGAAGTGCCACTTTGGAACTAAATGAAGAACATTTATCTTTCTACCAAAAGGCTGATTGACTTACAGGTTGAAGAATCATACATGAAAGCGTACAAGGCAAACTGACTTATATATAAAAGCTAGCATGCACACCAAAATGATTGAAAAGGTCGGGGAGCCTTCTGTATTGCAGAACAGACAATATCTGAAAGATAAGTTTTTGATCAATAAATTACTGGCCCCTGAAATGATCAGGCTTCTCGCCGCAAGCAGTTTCTTAGAACTACTTATTTGCAGTAAATTCGACAGTTTGTTTGAAATCAACTGATAAACACATTTCTTACATTTCTTAGAGCACATCATAGTGTTTAAGAAACAAGTATACCCTTAAAACCACAAATTCATGTAACAGTACCTAAGGGTCTAATATGTACAAGAATGAGAATATACTTAAATAGTTGACATAATCTACCCTCAAAGCACCAAGACATCTTTTTCATAGTAATGTGGTAATAACGCACAGAAATACATTCTGTGGCTGCACAGAAATACCTTCTGTGGCTGCACAGAAATACATTCTGTGTCTGTATCACCTTAAGAGAAATACCAGATAACAGATACCAGATCCATTTCAGGAAGGTTATTTATGCTGTTTGGTCATTGTTCATTCCACCAAAGTAGCATTTATTGCAAAATATGTTCATTGAAACACATTTGAAACAATAGATGGCAGGAATAACCTGGGTAAGATAGATCTGTTATCTATTATTTTTATCTGTTATTTATCTTGGGGTGATACAGCCTATCATTGATGACTTTGGAACAGGCTTTGTTTAAGATCATCCAACTGATAAAGAAGAATCTTACACTTTTTTCGTATAAATTATAGAACTAATCTTATCATGCAATCTAAGCAATTCTCCAAATACAAAACCATCTCTCATACACTATTTAGAGCATTATATGCTTTCTTACTGCTTAATGATTAGTCTCCAAGGAATACCCTCACGAGTTCACAACTTCACAATCTCCATTCATTATTTATAAGAATATTACAAAGGACTCTGCAACTTTTTTTATTTATATTCAGAATTTTAGTAACATGCTGTATATATCCAATTTATGCCACAAGTGCATATTTGAATAATTCTAAGTACATGGTTTGATCGTAGCTGAATCAAGTTATTCGAGTACTCATAAAAATGATTTATATTTAGTAACTCAAATTCATTCACAGGAAAAAGGATTTGTTTAACAAACTATCCAAAATAAAGTTCTGTGAAAAGCCCTGTTTAATTTTTGAATTAGTTTACTTACTAAAAATTTTAAAAGGAAAGTATCAGGATTAACAGCAAATTCACACACACAACTACATTACAGCATGTACATATCATACTTAAAATAATTTTAATCTAACAATTACTGGGACAGAGATGCGTATGTGATGGAAATACAATTACTTCAAACCACAGACATGAGTAGAGCCCAAACATTAGGCAACAATGCAGCGTCTATGCTATGACAATGAAAGGTGACAAAATTAGAGTGACATTGACAAAGGAACACAATACACAAGAAAGAGCACTGCCAAGGAATGCACTGCGAATGGGTACTGGAATGAGCAGAAGCTAACAGTATTAAATTACAACACATTCACGTTTATATTACAGTTTTGCAATCACAAATGCGATTAGTCTAGCACAAGGATGATTTATAGCCTTAGTTGCTGCAATACTATTTACAAGAAAGTTAACTATCAGTTCAACTTGCCCCAGGGAATTGAGGATAATTCAATACCAGGCGGCCCTGACAAATCCGAAAAGAATGAGATTTTGTCCAGGCTATATCACATTAGTCACACAATTACTTGGCACCTCATTCGGCCAGTAAATTGTGACTTGACACTCAACATCCTATCACCACCTCAGCCTTCCAAAGTAGTTGGGGGCGGTGTTTTCTTTGGTTACTTGAGCCTGATGGGGCAGGCGTTAATATCGTGTGCACCGCTGTGCGTACACAGTGGGGAAGGGAGGGAGTAACACTACGCCAATTGTTCATGTGTAAACTCTTCTCGCCTTCCCCATCTCCGGAAACCACAATGTGGCTGGGTCCTCTAGCAACAATAGTAGCAGTCGAATCAGTCTTCTTTATTGTTCCTCCCCAAGCGCTGGCTGGCTTGGTGCCTCTGGACTGTGCGCTCAGGTGCCGAAGCGCGGCCGGCCTACGAGCAGCACGCACGCCAGGACCAGGGCGGCCGAGAGCGACGGCGCCCCGCTGCTCCCCGCCACGGTGCCCGTCAGCGTCTGCACGCCGTTAATATCGTCGAACTCCTGACCGATGAGGTCCACGTCCAAGTCGTCTGCTGTAGGGGTAGGCTGCTTGACGGGCTCGGGGCAGGGCAACTGCTCGGGGTCCAGCTCGAGGAGCTTCCGGTCGGTGCCCGACGGCGAGACTCTCTGCTGCTGGCTGGCCATCAGGTCCTCCGGACCACTGTAGTCCTCGTCCACGTCATCCGCGTCGTAGTCGCTCGAGTCGTCCTTGTCGTGCTTCTTGTTGTGTACGACGACGGCCTCGTCCCGGATGAAGCCGGGGCCGTCGGTGCTCACGTGCGAGGCGAAGAGGCGGCCGCGGTGCGGCACGGGCGCGCCGACCTGCTGCTGCTGCGCGCCGTGGAGGAGGCCGTTCTGGTGGTGGTCTATGAGGCCGGGCTTGACGACACCGTGGGCGGGCGCGGGGTCGGCGCCGTCCAAGCTCAGCACGCACGTGGTCTCCTCGAGGGAGGTGCGGATCTGCTCGTTGGGAGTCTCGTTGCGCAGCTGGTAGATCCACGACAGCCTGCAGTCGCACACGAACCGGTTGCCTGTAACAAAGCAGAGGACGAAATGGTTAGGCCGGTATGGAACGCTCAGCACTAGTCTGGTGTTTGGCGCCACCGCCAGGTACTATACACTCCGGGCTGCCAATCACCCCCCACCCCCCTGGCGAGAGAGATGAGACGAGATGGGACTCTGAAAGTAGGCGTCGCGATGGCGGTACCAAAGCGCCGCGACGTCGCGTCGTTCATTTAGCGGCGGCCGGGGAGCGTCGCCGCCGGGCTGGAGGCGGGCCGAGGCGGGCGCAGGCCTCAAACTCTTTAACGAGGTTCCCCGGCGGCGCCTTTCGCATTAGCGTAAAGGGAAATAATGTGCAAATCGCGACGCAGGGTGAGTAGAATAGCCTCGGCGCGCGAGCCGACCAAAAAGGAAAGGAGGGGGAAGTGTAGTGGAGCCGCTCCAAGCGAGGACCGAGAAGTGCGCGTGGTACCGAGAGGGTGGCATCGGCGGTTTGGTTTTGTTGGGGGGAAGGAATCAGTGCCCGGCGGGCCGCTGACACCCACCGCCGGGGCGCCGCCACGCAGGCTGACGTAACAGCGCGTGGCTTTACTTTGTAAGCTTCCCGTCTGGGGCCACTCTGCGCCCACCCGGCGCCCATCCGCCCGCCCGGCCAGGCCGAGCGAGCAAGTCCTACGGCCGCGCTTAAACTGTTGCCCGCGGGCGCAAAGTAAGCAAACATTGCGGCGGGCGGGGGCTGTCCGGGCCGGGCAGGGCCGACCACGTGCGGTGCGGTCTAGTCCGCTCCGACTGTGCGGCAGCCGAGCGTCAGCCAGCCTCGACCCCAGCCTGAGCCATGTGTGTAAGGTCCTTATTCGACGATTAATACTTAACTCGTCATATTAAAAGGCCGAGCCAAACTAAATTCTTCCACACCCAGCGCATAGGCTTGCGGGCGTCACTAGCTGATGTAAAAATATTCGCGTAATTAATATACACGGCCCTGTGCCCTGTGTTCTGCTTTCGTCTGATGTATTAATGCTAATGACATCGGCAACGGATGCACAGCATCATCATCGAGGGTTCGGTCCGCACCACGGCGCATGATACGCTGCCCCCGGGATGGACTCGGATGTTCGCTCAAGTCCGCCAGCTCTGTCGGCTCTCCCCCTCCTCCCCAATCCTGTCGAGGCTGAGTCGAGCGGCGAGCCCGAGCCGAGCAGCCGATCGTGTGCAATCAATTAGACTAATTGTGGTCCTACACACGTCGGCTTAGACGGGCCGGCCGGGGAGAGAGCGAGCGAGCCTTGTCGGCCTGCAGCTATGACGCGTGCGCCCAGAGAGCAGCTCCAGAGCATGGTGAGCAGGCCCCGCTCCTGGTCCAGGGCCAGCCCAGCCCGGCTGGCTGGCGGTTGTATTATAGAGCTGCTGTCTAAGCGGGGCGGGGCGACCTGCGCACCTCACTCACCTCCTAGTCCCCGCCCCTGCCTCGCCCCTGCCTCGCCCCCCGCAGCAGCGGCAGCACAGGCAGCGCCAGGGCGAAGGGCTGGCTGCTGGCTGTGGCTATTTCGATAGCGAAACATTCTTTCCCTTCCGCAACTCAGCACGGCTTGGACCCGCAGAGCCAGCGAATACCACAGGCCGGCTGGCTTATACTTTCCTTTCCACACGTGAACACGTGATGAATGACTACTTTACCCAAAACTTCGACAAATAAACACAACATCCCAATTTGGAAGTGCCCTCTCGTCACTATGCCGTGCCCGCCGCTGCTATTGCATGGAGCGCACATGGGTCCGCATCAAACGACAGGCCGAAATTATTGTCAGCCCCTTAGTCCCCCATCCCTCCCACCAGCACCACCGCTCGGCACGACCACTTCAAAGCCGGCGCCCGGGCCTCTCTGCGCCTTGCAGTAATAGCGCCGGGCTGTTTGTCAGTCAGGTGGTCTAATTGGGTACATTAGGCGGGCCGTAGTGCTGGTGCGCGGGGCGCGGCGGGGTGCGGC